TTTTTTTATACCAAACTATTATTAAAAAAAAATCTCATTAAATTTTTTTATAAATCTCACTAACACAATCTATTGTTATAAAAAAATCTTTTATTAATTTATTAGTATACTTTCAAAAATAAACTCACTCACTATATCCAAAAGTACACTAGTTATACATTAAAAAAAAAATAGTTTGATGGTAAATATGATAAAGCCGAAAAATGATGATCTACGCCTGGATCACGTCGCGGCTAATTATTTTTTGGCTAACTTACACCATTATGTAAATATGTTGAGTGTAAATTAAAATTATTTATTTTTTCCATATTTTTTTTCTTTAGGTTCAGTCAGGGATCTCATATGATGTAGAAGTAATTTGGACATTCTTAGCAGATACAGAATTTCCTTCCTTTTTTTTTGTTTTTTTTTTCGAGTAGAACTTCAAATTTATTACTAAATTTATTTTCAAAACATGGCAGATTTGATATTTTTGATTGGCCAGATTGGCCAGATTGGCCACATGATCGTGTCATATTTATTTGTTTATCGAACAGTATAGGCAGTATAGGTTCGAGTTTTGTTTCCTTGGCTCTTTCAGTCTTAAGGTATTTTTCTTTTTTTCTTTTATTTTTATTTCTAAACTTACATTCATACACTTTGTTTCTTACTAACTCTATTTCATTATTTTTAGGTCCTTTAGAGTTTAGTCCTTCCGGTTCTGCAATTAAGGTTCAGTTGTTTTTCACTTTACATTTCATTTCGTTTCTTATTTTTTATTTTTTATATTTTGTTTCTGTTTCATATTTCGGTTTTCACTAATTTTATTTCATTTTTTTTTAGATTTTTAATTCTTCCAGTTCTACAATTAACAAAGGTATGTTTTTATTTATTATTATTTTTTTTTTTATTTTGTTTCTATTTTATGTTTTGTTTTTTACTAGCTTCATTTTTTTACTTTATCAGTTATGGTTTTATTTTTTATTTTGCTACCCAACCGATTACTTTTTTATTTTTTGTCTCTCATCATTTTTCGCCTCTTATTACTTCTCATTATTTCATCCTTTTCGTCTCCCATTATTTTCTATTACATCTTTTCATTTCCATAATTTCTTTTTCTCTCCTGTTTACTTTCCATCACTTCTTTTCGTCACCTATCACTCCTTTTCACCTCTTTTCGTCTCCCATCACTCATCTCCCATCATGTCCTAACTTCTTATTACTCTTTTTTACTTCCTTTTCATCTTCTATTACATTTCATTATTCCATTGTTATTTCATTTTTTTTATTAGCATCTTTCTTCTTGATCATTGTAATTTACTTATCTTTTCTTTTATTTGCAAATAAAATTTCATTAGATAAAAATTATTTTGAATAAATATGCTTACAAAAATATTTTTTTTTAAAACATCTTTTGTGATAAAATTTTAAGTATAGCCGATCAAAAATTGGCTAACTAAGTTAAATTTATTTATTTACTACACCCACCTGCCAAAAGTATCCGGACACTTCTAAAAAATGACCATTAAATCACATTATTTCGACGTCTAGTGATCAGAATT